CGGTGCTGCGTCTGCAGGTTGATACGTCTCTTCAAAGCTGCAGCAGTTGAAGAGCTGCAGAGGGAGAAGCTGGTGAATTGGCCTTCAAGCCACTCAAGAGCTTATTTACTGCAGGTGGTTAAGAGCTGAGCTGAGCTGAGCTTTGATCCAGTCCAGTGGTTGCCTGTCCTGGTCCTGGTGCCCCACACACCTCCATCAGATCATTGAAGCCTTGATTGATCTAGTGAAGTAGAGGCTTCATTGGAATATTTGTAATTTGTTACTAGTCACAAGTTAGGGATTTTATTTCACTTACTAAACACAATGGTCAAAGCTCCAACATGTTAAAGAGCTGGGAACAAACAGTTCAGATTAATCTGAATTATTATCAAGTCAGAGATGGGTTTGATTGTGTTACAAGAGGCTCAGCTGCAACAAAAACCAGCAGGTGTGTGGGTAACCAGAACTGGGAACCACTGATCTAGAATATTTGGTAGTTAACAGATAATTGATCCAGGAATTGCACCCAGGCATCCATATAGATCATGTCCATTAATTGAACTAATTAAGAATAACAATCAGTTGTGTTTTAATCATGTGCTGCTGCTGTTCAGCAGTGCCAAAACCTGCAGGACTGGAGCTGCCTGTCCCTGATTTACAATCTGCAGTATTACTGTATCTTTTGTTTTATCCTTCTTATTGTATCTTTTTAACCAATTCTGTGCACTTTTCTCTTGCCTTTTGAGCAGTGACTCTTAAGTGATTGATTGTGCGGTTGTTCCTTAAAATAAAGTCTTTGCTTTGACTGCAATAAGCCTCCACCGCCTTCTTGTCCACATCTTTAGAACGTTGTTCATGAGACAACCATCTTTGTTATCTGGTCTCTTTTTTAGGACCCAACTGTATCTATAGTCACATACACTCTGATCCTTACAAATGCTAATTATAATTATGACTTTGATTAATTATTAACTTTACTAATTATCATTACTTGTCAATTATTATAATTAAAACAATGATATCATTAATGCCATCATTTGAGATTAAAAACTAGAAGATACTGCCACCTTCAGCACTAGAGCCCGAGACCTTTACCTTAAAACAGAAGTTCTCAGTTTTGAAAACACAGTGCCCCCGTTTCAGTTATCACAAATCCACAACACTCCCTGTCTAGGTGTATGGGCTAATAATTTGATTTTAACACTTAAAAAAATAAATAAATTGCAATTTTATTTTGGGTTTTGAAGAATTAGCTGTTTAGTAGCAAATACAAGTCAGTGACTAAACCACCAAATATTGGGAGAAGCTCAGTTAGAATATGAGTCTTCATTTTTATAAATTGATGTTTAAAACGTGGCCTTGTAGTCAGTGAGAATTGTGTGCCCTAGGCGTGCCCAAGCAGTTGACAAACCCTGCCTAAACCTTGACGGGTTCTCCATTCTGTCTCTCCTCCTGTCCTACACTTTCAGATCTCTACACGAGACTTCCTCTACTGGCTTCACATTCACTCTCAGTCTTTCCGCTGTAGGCTTTGGCTTTGGTCTTGTAATAGACTCTTTAGAAATGAAACCAGCTCTAACCAGCGTGCTTGCATATCATCTCAACGGAAGAGTTTTTAAACACATTTATAGATAGATACTTTATTGATCCCGTGAGGAAAATTGCAGAACTGATGGTACCATGACACCAAAAATCCACCCACCATCCATTTTCTAATCCCTCTATCCAATCCCAGGTCACAGGGGAGCTGGAGCCAATCCCAGCAAGGAAAGGGTGCCAGGCGGGATACACCCTGGATGGGACACCAGTTCATAGCAGGACACACAGAGGCACAGACACTGACAAACACTTTCCCAGAAGCCAATTAACCTGCAACTATGTATCTGGAATACGGGATGGACACTAAGAATGTCCTGTTTAATTCCAACAATCTTCTAGTAGATGCAAACATTATTATTCTGTTGCTGTCATTTCTTATCAATCCAGGTGTCCAGTTGCTCTCAGTTTGTTGTGCTGGTACACGTGGCTTTCAACCTTTCAGACTGACCATCCCCATTATAGACCTCTCCAGTGCTGACAGACAACCACCTCAATTGACAAGTGTTTCAAGTTTACTTGTAAAAAAAACAGATTAGACTCTTTTGAGGACGGAATTTGTAATGGGAGAGAAGAAATGAGGGGGAGAACTGAAATTATAGAAATATTTTGAGAATCAACAAGACAGCAATATTTAAATATTAGCAAGTCCAAAATAATAAAAACAATACATTTAAAAGATAAATGACCTGTATTTTGATACATGGTAAAAAAAAAACATTTTCAGTCCAGCAAAGGTTTAATACCTGTGTTAAATACTTCTGTTAAAAGTGTCAGATATGTGATGGTTCCAGTTACCTAGCCTATGTTTGTGTTTAAAATAACCTTGGAGTCATAAAGGGTCCTAGGCTTGGCACATGTTCACATCACTATTTCTCAAAAGTTCCCACATAAACAAACCCATTGCTGATTAAGATGACCACAGTGCAGTACAGATGAAGCCTGATGCCTGACAGGTTTTTCCTCTACAGATAACAGATAAACTTTATTCTTTTGCGTTTACTAAAATGCATTGGTTTGCGGTTTAGATTAAAGTCCACTATAAAGAATCTTAAAGCATTCAGCTTCAATCTTTCTCTTCCTCACGTCATTTATATTTACATTTGGCCTCATATTTATTCATACCCCTGCTACAATGTAATTAAATGAAAACAGGTTTTATGAAAAAAGACAATATGTATTAGCCAGATCAATGTTGTTAGAGAAATCATTCAATCAATCAATAAACTGAAAGATTGGTTTATACCACCAGGTAGGCAGATGTATCCATTGAACTACAAAGTTTAAAAATGGTATTTAATCCCACTGCATAAACCATCTTAGGAGCTGTACTCAAAAATATTGCATCTAGTCCAACTCAGTCCATATACACTGCAGTACATTGTCTTGTTTAGTCAGGACTAATGCTGAACACATATCAATTGTAGGTCAGTATTACACCATTCACTCTGCTGACAAACTGCACTATTTCATGTGACCAAATTAGAACTGGACTGTAGATACCCCACCTTGTAGTAGTCTTTAGTCCAGTTTTCAAGTACACTATTAAATGGGCTGCACTGTTGGCATATATAGCACCATCAAGCCACTTTAAAGGTGACTAAAGCATGTAGGGTGTGGAAAGGGTCAGAGTTGCTTCTTCAGACTTGAAAACATTTTACCCCTGACCCACCTGACTGATCTTTGTTGTTAATGTTTCTATTAGCCCTTTCACAACAGTGCAACATGAAGCTCCCCAACTATTAGTACAAAACAACACCCATCTACCCTAGAAGCACTAAGGAGCAAATCTACAGAAAGATACAGACAGATATTCATGGACAAACTGTCAAAGCTGCAGAAGTATTGCACCCTCTTTAAATCTAACAGCACCTGATTCAATAAATAGCAATTCCATGTACACCTGAAGTGTAGTTCCTATAGTCCTGTCAAAACCTGACCTACATAGAGTAACACTCCATATTTCAGCATAGAACTATCCAATGGAAAAGAAATAACTGGCTTAGTGGCAGATCCAGAATATTTAAATAAGACAATGTTGCCAATGACAGGAGTGTAATCAGATTGGAAAACAGCAGATAGTTTCTTCGACTTTCATGATAAGAGCAGTTTTCATCAAAACCTTAACATCCTTGAGCATTTAGTTTTCCAAGTGAATTGAAATAATTTTACAAAAATGTTACAAAACAATGTTGTAATGATGTCAATTAATTTAGAGCAACATTGTGTGTTGATACATTAATCTTAGGACATACAATCAGGAATATGTATTTAACAACCTGTTTCCTCAAGGCATTAAAATACAATTACCCAGAAACAGTGGGAGCCACTCTGTTAACACAACCCCAGACAAATCTTTAATAAACACACAACCAAGTTTATATATATAAAAAACAACACAAAAAACAATGTAATTCCAGAATCACAACTCTTCTTTGGCACTGTGCGAGTCCACTGCTGCACTGACAGCAGGTTTGCTATCCTCAGTGTCTAAACCCTGCGCCTCCGGAGAGGAGGAGTCCGATCTGTTAATTGTAGAGGGGTCAGAAACAGACGCCGTCTCAGCTGGTACTGATGATGTCCCTGAGTCACTGCTGGGGGGCTCAGCAGTGGCCTGTGTTGTATCCTTCCCACCTTCAGACTGTGTGGGTGTCTCTGGGATGCTTTCTTTAGCTGTACCCTGAAACTCTGCATCCACAGGGCTGATGAGCATCTTCAGAAGGTCTTCAGCTTGTATCCGTTCCTGGAAGAGAGATGGAAAAATTAAAAAGAGATGTTTTACACACAGACTGCACAGAATGTCCAAGACTCAAGACTCAAACACTGTGGGAACAAAGTCACAAGATATGTGGTTGAATGGGTTTTGTCAACAATGGTGGAAGAGCTGAAAATGTAAAAGGTGGAATGGGTTAAAACTGCTTGCAATGCATTTATTGTAGGATGATTCTTCATCAGGAGGATTTAAATAAAATCACTGATGCTGCAATACAACACCCACCCTTTATCAGGAAGTCACTTGTGCCTGGTAAAAATTGCCACAACCTGCAGCCTAAACTGGTAGCAAGAAACTACAGACTCTAGTCCATCGCAGGGCACACACAGATAAGTTAGAGACAACAATACTCAACCTAGCCTTTAGAAGCTGCAGAGAACATGAAGCGACTAGCAAAAACCCATGTGAACACCTTGAGAACATGAAAACTCCACCCGTAAGTCTGCAGAGTCAGGAGCTGTGAGGTAGCAGTGCTAGCTACCATGCCACCATGCTGTGTGCAAGGGAGCAGGAAAGGGGAACCGAAACGCTTTTTTCATATTTCTGGGTTACAAAGAATCACCACTGATAAGTACATTTCTAACCACAATGAAAGTAAAATATAACAGTAACATGTAAAAAAATAAACTGAATTTACAATGCAGCGCCATGTTGCCGTCAATGCCTGCAATTCAGAACAAGGCAACAAAACGTCCAATGGCTTGAAGCTGCCCTATCACACTGCAAACAAGCAGGGTTGTGAACACATCTCCTTTAATATTGCTCACGACTTCAAGACGGCTTTGCCGACATAATAGTTAACTCTGCCTGCAGATCACTTTGCAACATTTCTGTGGTGAAAAGCCTGCTGCACAACCTGTAAATTGTTGTACTTTGTTACAGATATTTTAAAACTGGTCTGAAAAATTGGGACTTCGGTTCCCCTTTAAAATGTCAAAGCAGCCAAAGCTGAAGCTGCTTGGAATACATAGAACCGTAAACTCTAGGTTTGACCTAAAATTAAGACGGACTTGATGCAGCTGTGCTGCTGAATAATTAGTGTTCTAATAATCAGTGAACAGCTGCTTCACTACCAGTAGACTGTAAAGGGGTGTCCTTAAGAGCTACAGTTTTAAACATGAGAATATAGATAAATTAACTAAATAATTACTCACCATTTTCATACCTTACTGTACTTTTGCAATTATACCCGAAACCACTTACCAAATATCTTGCACAGCATTATTGCTTTGGTACGACTCAACAAATCAGTTATATTTCGTAACACATTAAATAAATGTTTCAGGGAGATAATAGATAATAATAAGAGCTTTCATTTGTCCTACATGAAATTATTAAAACCTTTACACAGCATGTCTAGCAGAGAGGTGAAAACTTTACCGATTGATTTCACACCAAAACACCATCTTAGGAACAGTTTCATGGATTCTTTAATGACCAAGTAGTCAGGGTTTCATGTGAATGACAGTTCCTGTATCTCCTAAAGCCAGGTGTAGAATCAAGCTTCAGCTTGGTTCAGACTGAAGAATAGGCCACCTATTGGCCACTAATACCATTCATAATGGCAAACTTAATTTTAAATAAATTGGTTTAAATTAGGGAGACATGGTCACCCTGTGTTTGTATGGGTTTCCTCCCATAGCCCAGAGACCAGGTTAACTGGCTTCTGTAGAAACTGGCCCTGGAGAGAGAGTGTGCACATCTGTTTCTGTGTCTCTCCTATATTAGCCCTACAGTGAACTGGGCTGGTGTACCCTGGCTTGCGCCCACTGCTGGCCTGGATAGGCTCTGGCACCCTTGAAACCCTGAATTAATAAAGCAATGACAGTGGTCATCTGATCCAGTGCTGACCAGGCTCAGCCTTGTTTTGTCTCTGAGACCAGGCTGCAAGATGCTAAATTATTATCCACCCACCCAACTTCTAACCATTCTTCTATTCAGGATCACGGGGAGCCAGAGCCTATCCCAGCAAGCAACGGGCACAAGGCAGGGTACAGCATTGGGACGGGACTCCAGCCCATCACAGGTCACACACAGACACAAACACACTCACAATCACACCAGGGCCAGTTTTCCCAGAAGCCAATTAACCTGCCAGTATCTCTGGACTGTGTGAGAAAACTGAAGCACCTGAAGGAAACCCACATAAAAAAGAGAGAACATACAAACTCCACATAGACAGCAGCCTAGGTCTGGAATTGAACTGCAAGGCGGCAGTGCTAACCACTGCGCCACAGTGTCATCCTAAACTTTTATTAATAACAGCAATAATAAATCATAATACAAACTGAGATGAAATGAAATCAAGGTAATGTTGAATCATGACTCCTGAGGTAATGAAGAGCCAGGATTTAAAAAGCGAGCACCAGCTTTTATTGTTCACCCTGAGAAAGTGGAGTGGAGCAGACGGCCGGTTGTCACTGCTGTACCTTCTCATTGTGACGCGGGTCCAGTGTGAACCACAGAGCCACGGCGCAGCGCTGCCCCCTGGTCACGGCTCTCACTCCGTGCGGGTTCTCCTTCCCGGCCCCGAACCCCACCACTCGGCCGCACTGGGGCCTGACCACAGCCTGCAACACAAGACACCTCCTGAATAACAGACAGACTCACCCCTCAGAGGGCTGTACAGGTAATGGGGATCCCCTCCACCACCACCAGTGTGCAGCCCCACCTGGAGGGCAGCCAGAGTGCACCAGTCTGCTCCCCACACACCAGCTCTCAGTGGGGAAGAGAGCAGAGTGATGAAGCCAGTTATGAGATGGGGATTATTAGGAGGCCATGATTGGTAAAGACCAGTCTCATCTGAAGGATGGCACCTATTTACAGTATAGTGTTCCCGTCACTATACTGGAGCATTAGGACCCACACAGACTGCAGGGTGAGCGCCCCCTAGTGGCCCCACTAACACCTCTTCCAGCAGCAACCTTAGACTTTTCCCAGGAGTCTCCCATCCAGGTACTGACCAGGCTCACACTGCTGAGCTCCAGTGGGCTGCAAGTTATCTTCTTTTGACTTTCTGTGAGAAAGAGCTTAGCCTTCACATCCAATTTTACAATAAATACTTTCACTCAGTAAGAATGAAGTCTAAATCTAAGGATGTACGTGTGTTTACAAAACATTTCTACAAGCAAACCAAACCTCCCTGGATAGTTTGTTCAAAGAAAAGACCTACATTTAATTAATTCAGTACTAAACGAGAATATGGTCTTGTTCTGCTTACATCAAATAATTAAACAGAAACAAAACACATACTGTACAATCAAATCACTTACTGTGACAGTTTTGGCATCCAGCTGAGTGAAAATGAAATCACCCCCTTCAAAGTCATCATTCAGATACAGGATAGCACTGAAATACAGGGGAAGATTTAGACATTTGCAAGTCTTTGAAGAAAGTCTACTTTGGTCTAAACATAAGCTGCTAATTAATTGCTTACATTTGGTTGGAAGACTTCTACCACTGTCTTTTTGGACTGGGTAGAAACGAGAGCACCCAGAGGAAAACCATACAAACAGAGGGAAACATACAAATTCCACATAGATAACACCCCAGGAATTGAACCCAGAGCCCCAGTGTTGAGAAGCAGCAATGCTAACTACTGCAACACCATACTGCCTGCTTAGGTGACACTCACATGATTAAAATATGTAGGATCATCAAAATTGGAAAGGTGTTGAAAAAGTAATAGCTCCAAAGAAATGTTTAAAATGTTGTTGTTTTTTATAACACAGAAAGAAAAAAAGTGAAAGAAATTCACTTCTGGTACGATAGCCACCGCCCTGCAATTATATTGAGAAATCCAGCATCTCAGTCACTTAAGACTTGGAAACGGTTAGTTAAGACCAGTAAAGAAAGACACTGACTGAGTTTAGACTTTAAGGTACCAAGACCAGCTGCAAGGTTACAAAACACACTGTAAACACTTAAAGAGCCACGTAACCTCAGCTGGATGTTAAAAAAAGTTTGAATGAAATTGCTGTGTTTGACTGCTTGAATATTAAAGGATCCTCTATTGATGAACCACAAAGTCTAACCCAGGTGTGCACAACCCTGACGTCACAGAGCAACAGGTCTCCAATATCACCCTCATGTAAAGAAATGTATTAAAGTTTGGAGCACCTGCTGGTTTTTAAACAACACACAGGGTAATACAGTATATTCAGGTACATGAGAAGTAAGCAGCTCTGACACTAAAAAGTTGGTCACAGTTCAATCAAAATGATCTCTAAATTACTGAATGACCTGCAGAACTGGATACAACATCAATATGTGACATGCCTTTCTCCAGTTTCACTTTTAAATGTGGCCTCGATGTACTCTGATTCAATATGAAAGCTGCTGGATGTATTTGAGTGCACCGTGATCTTTCCATGTTTCAGTGGGAGTTACTGTTGCCCACAGTGTACTGATATCATTTGGCAGATTGGCCTGAGTGGACAGTAATACACTTATTCACCATCCCGTGTGTGAGTCTGCAGGTTTTGAAAAATGCAGGATGGTGATGAGACATGAAAAATGCAGGATGGTGATGCCAAATCAGGTGGGTTTACAACAAGAAAAAATTGGCAATGTGTTTAAAAAGAAGCCCACTGGTGGACACAGCTGAACCATACCTGTAGTCTCTGTATGTGTAGGCCGGGGGCTCTTTGATGCACTCCATGAGTTCTGAAACCAGCAGGCAGTTATCCACATGAACAGAGTGGCTCAGATCCTCACGCCCCTCCTGTTTCTCTGGGTTGCAAGAAAGAAAAATATTCAGGGGAACATGAAAGTTGTTTTTACTCAGTTCCCAGAGACAGCAATCAGAAGGCATCTTTGGAATCTTTTGGAAAGCACAGATACTTCCACTCCCCTCCCTGGATAATCTGACAGTAACCCATGCTTAACAGGAGTCATGTTTGAGATGCATTGCTCTGTTTCCCTTCCTATGGAATAGAATCTTCAGAGTTTCTCTAAGAGCATATTCGACTTAATCATAAATGATTCTGAAAACACAGCCAGACTTGTGCATCCTTAATCCAAGAATGACAGACAGAATAATAAGATTATCCTTTAATCTTTATAATGGACCTCTCTGCTCCAAGCTCACTAAAAGACCAGAAATATGCGACCGGGTATCCTCGATTAGGGTGGGATGATGATCAAAAAGTCAATAATATTGTCGTAAAAATATTCAATGACAAACATGCTATAGTTTTTATCATCAATGTAGTTATCCAGATGTTCTGCACCAGGGTGCGAATTACATCTAGGCATAAGGGGCACCCCTGGAGGCACGGGAGACATATTACACATGAAGGGCCAGTCGACAGGAGTGACCACAGAGGTCTGTGCTTAGCTATCTTTGGTGTCCATCATGTTGCCCATGAAGTTGTCTGACGAGCAACTCCTATCAGCAACAGTCAGATCGCCCAGTTTTGATTGTTTTGTGAACCCAAAATTAGCTAGTCAAGTTCCCTGTTTTCTCCTGGGCATTATTGTCGCTTTTCAGTCACATATATAGAAAACTAAATGTAAATAGAAATTTTCTATGCAAATTCACTGTCTGCCTTTTTTTAAATCTAAAGAAGAAACATTGCCTACTAACAGTAACAGTGCTGCCAATGGCCTTGATCAGTAATAGTATTAAGTTGCTTAGTTATTTCTATGGCAACAACATGCTCAAAAAAGAAACAAATAAACCGGAAAAAAGTGACGTATATAAACAGGAAATTTTTAAAGTTTCCATATTTTAGAGACCCCCACCAAAATTTCACAAATGGTCTCTTCAGGGAAGCTTGTGCCTTATTCAGAGGAGCTCAGCTCCCCCTGGTTCCCCTGTAATTCACACCTCATTCTGCACTATTGCCATTAGCACTGACCACTTCTCTTTCTGCCTAACAGACACTTCGCAAGTAACTGAGCTCACGAAACCAGACGTTTGATTTGAAGGGTATCTTCAGTTCATCTGCCTGTATTGGTGACACAGCTCTACAGCCCTGCTCCACAGTGTTTCAAGAAATGTCCCACTCTGAGGAGAGTGAAACTTTTCAGTCTTGAACACAGAAGGCTACAAGTTGACCTTATACAAGTACTGAAACTATACAAGCATTGACAAAGTCAACTCAGTGAACGTTTTCAGAACAAATATTGCAAAATAAACCTCAGGCACAAATGGAAGTGCATTTAAAACCAATAACTGGATGTACTTCTATACCCAAAGAATTGTAGGAGGATGGAACAAGCTTCTCAGGCATGTTATTGAAGCTCATACCCTTATAATTTTGAAAGAAACAATCATTGGATCAATTACAAGATGACTATCATCCAGGCTAGGTGGGCTGAATGGCCTCCTCTCATTTGTTCTAATGCTCACATGCTAGACAGAATTCTCACTTCCTTTGACTCTAAAGTGTTCCAAGTGACTCAAGTATTTCAGACTCGAGGCAATGACTGCCTTGCATAATACCTGGGCGCAAACTACATACAAAGATGTGAAATAATGAAAAGGCAAAAAATTGCCACTTAAGGCTTAAGGCTGTTGTGTTTGCAAGATGCTTCACTTAAGTTCAGAGGTGCTTTGTTCATAGTAAGCTAGATTCCTCACCTAACTCTAGAAAAATGAGGATGATGCCCTAAATTGCAGTACAGTCTAAATATTTCTGTAAACGTCAGTTGATTTTTTTTACTGTATTCATCGGAAAATAATTTGCATCTCTTAACGAGTTTTAAACACTGCATCAAGAAATGTGAAAATACACTATCAGCCTAATCCATAACAAATTGCATCATTACACTGGTAGTGCCCAGCTTTGACAGAGGGACAGTTTAAAGAAGCAGCCGCAATGCCAGCCCATGCCACTTCTGATGCACAAACGTATACAGGAAGTTGTTTTACCCTGCACATCACTCTGATTTCAAAATGGCTGTGAGAAAGAGGTCTACTGTTCGACAGGAAGCAACAGAACTAGGCCTGCTGCCGTTGCCATGGTTTCAAAACTTTGTTCCTCCATTATCGTCCCAACACCAGGCCTCACCGTCAATGGCAGAGCGGCACACCAAGTGTGTGTAAGAGAAGTAGAGGGGAGTCTCCAGGCGGAAGTAGGACTCCACGATTTTGCGGACCTTCTCACTGATGTCAAAAAACAGACTGGCGCTCCTCATGGACACCTTCCCCTCCTGGCCCAACTGCAGCAGCAAAAGGGACAAAATCCACTATTACGTAATGACTGTCCCCCAGGACACAACGACAGATAACCGCAATGATGAGAGATCACCTGTCTATAAGGGAATACTAAATGAAATGTCTTGTTAAATTTTGTTAAACTCTGGCCTTATAACTAAGTTATCTTACAGAGTTAAATGGTTTAGGCAACAGTGTGCAGGAATAATTAGAGCTCTGGCCTTGAAAATGGAGGGGTGCTCACTCAAAGGTTACAATTACCGTAGTGCCGTTGAGTAAAGCACTTCACTCACATTACTGCAGTAAAATACCCAGCTGTATAAATGGGTACACATGTAAGTCCCTTTGGATATAATATGTCAAACAAATAAAATACAGATAAATTGCAGGAAGGCAGCGCTGAATATAGACTAATGTTTGGACCACAGGTACTCAGAATACTACAAACCACTATGAAAGCTGTGTATGAAAATAATAATAATAATAATTGCTTACACTTATATAGCACTTTTCTGGACACTTCACTCAAAGAGCTTTACAAGTAATGGGGACTCCCCTCCACCACCACCAATGTGCAGCCCCACCTGGATGATGCGACGGCAGCCATAGTACGCCAGAACGCTCACCACACATCAGCTATCAGTGGGGAGGAGAGCAGAGTAATGAAGCCAATTCATAGATGGGGATTATTAGGAGGCCATGATTGGTAAGGGCCAATGGGAAATTTGGCCAGGATGCCGGGGTTACACCACTACTCTTTTTGAGAAACACCCTGGGATTTTTAATGACCACAGAGAATCAGGACTTCGGCTTTACATCTCATGCGAAGGACAGCGCCTGTTTACAGTACAGTATCACTATACTGGGGCATTAGGACCCACATGGACCGCAGGAAGAGCGCCCTCTGCTGACCTCACTAACACCTCTTCCAGCAGCAACCTTAGTTTTTCCCAGGAGGTCTCCCATCCAAGTACTGACCAGGCTCACACCTGCTTAGCTTTCAGTGGGTTGTCAGTTGTGAGTTGCAGAGTGATATGGCTGCTGGCCATATCAATAAACAGTTTATTTTTAAGGGATCTGGAACTGCCACAGTGTTGTGCAGGATGCTGGACATCTTGGAGCACCAAGATGCCGTTTTTAGGGCAGTATTATGTGTAGGTAGAGGGGGCATTCTGGCTGTTAAGAAATAGCAATAACAATACAAAACAAGAGAGCCAGTAGTATATGAAGATTTCTAATGATTTTTTCTTGGCCTGGACTAACTCAGGGACTGTCCTACAGTATGTTGGTATACCTATCAAGCTATATATAAATTACTTCCAGAAACACTTGAATATTTACTAGCACCACCACAGTGTGATGTTCTAGATGGAAGTAAACACTGGTATAATTTAGCAAACTGCAATATTTACCAATGTAAAACCTGAAAACTTTGGCATATTTTGTAAAACACTTTGTAATATTTTACATGGTAACCTTTGTTCTTAATCAGCATAGTATGCTTAATCCTAGGAAATACTTTTAAATACTATTACAAACTTTTTAAATACTTTTTAACAAACAAAGATTTATCCCCGTGGTGCATGTGAACTGAAATCTTACAATAATTACAGGACATTCTGTAATACGACATTTGGACACCAGAGAGCAGTATAAGTGAAAAAACAACACACCCTCAATACCACTGCACTCAAAAGCAGAAACACACAAGGTAAAAGTCTGCAGAAATGAGCTGAGCTAACACTGACACTTGGCAGAGGTAACAGAACTACCGAGACCACAACAGCAAAACCTGCCTTCAGAGCTTTGAGGACAGTGACTCCCTGGAACATCTCACTGGGTGTGTGAGGAGACGGTTTCCCCCTGTATCCATCACCCTTCAGAGCAGCAGCCTGGGAAACAGAAAAAACACATGGCTGTTCTCTGCGTACTCCAAATAATCCAGCCACAACTACTGTGCGTTTACCTGTTTACAAACAACCAGCACAGCATATGACACGGCGTCACTTGGATTGTGGGTCTGAAACAAGGTGCCCAGAAACACTGGTGAAGCTGAAACCCTGGTTTCCTTCAAGGCTGGGACTCTCTCACCAATTAGCTATTAACTCTCAAATGTGACAGACAGGCTGAACTGACTCCTCTCCTCTGCAACCTTACATCGGTATGACATTTGACCGCTTGAACAATATAATGTGCAGAAGCCACAGACGCAAAACAAGACATCGAATATTTTATTTTTCTTTGCTTTTTACTCCCAATACTAGAAAAAAGGGAACTGTAAATGAAAAACAAAACTCATGAGGTTAACCAGAAAAAATAGTTACAGGTTAGAAGGAAAGATCTCAAATGAGAGCTTTAACCTCTGCCTGCGAGGAAACAGCACATCTGAAACACACTAATTACTTTCAGTGGCCAGTAGAATAATTCTCACTGTGCTGAGTGCTGGTATAACACAATACTTATTACATTATTCCTTATTTCTTTATAAAAATAAGAATAAAAAAAAACCACATCCTATCAGTGTATAAAATGCCAGACTCATAGGAAATCTAATAAAATGCATAAAGTCAAGGTAAGAGCAGCCACGTCACAAGATTAGAATTCTGCATTGCCAACTGTAGGCAGCCAATCTCTCCAGTTGGGAGCGCTTGTGCAGTGTGCAGACACTACTGAGGGACAGGGTCAGGGGGAACTGTCAGGATGAGATGTTAGAATAATCAGGGTTATGATGAAGAGCAGAGTAAGGATTTAGGTGGGGTTACAGTTGAGATGCAGAGCTGCGAGTTGGCTTGAGGAGCTCGGAGGAAACCTGCACACCTACATTGGACAGGCGGTGGAGCTCCCTGCACTCGTCCTCTGTGATGACGTCATCCAGCACCACCCTCTGGGACCCGTTCAGGGCTTTGGAGGCCATGGTCACCTTGATGCCATCGTACAGCACACTGCCACCTGGAGGAGCCAGCAGGGAACATGAGGCACAGCCTCTGCAGCAGGCACATCAACTCACAACCCTTAACAGACGTTCCAGCAGAGCTTCCTGAGTGAATTTCAATTTTTATTAAGAATTCTTAGAATAATAGGCTTGTAGACCCAATGTACTCAGTTGTCTTGACTGCTGTAGTTCCCTGAGCCACATGCGGTGGAGGGGATACATGAGGCTGAGGCTGGTTTAAAAAGATCAGGGCCTTAGGCAAGGCAGGACTTTACAAGTATACAAGAGGCACACTGTCACACCACCTTTCATGTTCTTTCTGTGCCATTTCTGTGATTACTAGCTGTTCCTAAGCAAAACCCTCAGGAGGCATGGGTTTTTAAGAACAGAAGCCTCTTGAATATCTTCTTTCCTCCTTTAAGACTTGTTTTGAGAAAAGGCTTGTTACACAGATGACCCCCAATGTGTTCTGGCAAGCACAAGTAACTGATGTTACAAGTTCCCTACCCATGTCTCCGATGCTCACCTTCCCTCACCATCCTGGAAATCTCTGTGGACTCCTTGTTCTTCTCCTCCACCAGAGTCTCAATCTCCTTCATCAGATTCCCAATTTCCTCAGTGATTCTAGCTGCCGTTTCCCGCTCTGCTCTGGAAAAGCAAAGGTACAGACATCCATGTCAGGCACAAGGAACATGAGTTACCAATATTCCAGGTCCGATGCACTGTACATTACCAAAGTCCAGTATATGTAAATTTCTGCAAAATAATTCTGGCAACATATGCAAGAAATATCAGGGATACATCTTGCTTTGTAGCCCAGAAATGGAGGAAGGGATACATAAGTGCATCCCAGCCCAGATCCTGAGAGACAAATGTTTTGTTCCAAATGGGACCCTTAAATCACCAATACTTACTAATAGATCTGCGTGCTTGTTTAGGCTTTTTTCTGTATTCTGTCCTTTCTTTCAAAAATACTCTAAAGCATAATATTCCCAAGAACGTACATACAGAATTTCACACATCCTTTCCTCAACTTCATAAATAAGAATTTGTTCTCTTATTTCTAACTAAGAAGTTTTTAATAGGTGAGATATTTATGATGAACAGATACGGGTGGGAATGACAGTGTGTCAAACTCTCCCACAATTAATGTTTATTTTTTCCATCTTGCCTAAGATAGGTTGTTTATATTGTAGCCAAGCACACCTGAATCAGGGCAGCTCTCGCACTCATTAATTAACAAAGTGCTCAAATAATAAATTACAAACCCTATATAGCTTGTAAAGAGCTGGAAGACATTTTAAGAACACACCTAAAAGAGAAAATTGAAATCAAATTGCCTGTGATTAAAAACGTAGCTGGAACACAAACCAGGAGACACAGTGATCCCTCAGGACCAAGGCCGAGAACCACAGCTCTACTTTCAAATGCTGTACAGATCTGTCCACTCACACATTTTTAGACTTATTCATGTCCGCAAGAGTCAAAAACACACGTGAGCTGCCATTAACCCAAGCCCACAAGCAATTCTGTGCTAATTGCTTAAAGAGGGGTAATTGTTCTTAAAACAGATGTCAGGCCTGCTACAGGCAACATGTTTGAATGACTGTGCAAATGCTGAAATATTACATGATGACCTGGAATCAGGACTATTTATTATATAAGGGTATGCTGTAGGAGCTTCATTCCTCAGATTAATTGATGGAAATCAAAGTCCCACCTGCATTTTGGACTTCATTTAGGAAATTGTGCTACTCTACAGTCTAGAATTTGTGGGCATTTCCTTTCCTCTCATCAGATCACAACCTGTTTCTGGCCTGTTTTCAGCAAAAACCCTAATGTTCCTTATTACCAAAGGATTCTTCTCAAAAAAGAAGGTGATTATTATTATTACTATTACTAGTTAACCAGTCTGAATACAGAGACTTTGCAGACTCATGTGAAAGCAGAACTGTATGCAACTGTCAATGTAACTATAATAACACCATTCATTGCTCTGTAAATGCATCCTACTGAGAGTGCAGTCTGGAGAACAGGGTCTTACTTCTGTTTCTCCCGAAGCTTTGGTGGCATAATGTCTATGGGTGTCCAAGAATCCTGAAAAACAAGATTGCAAGAGGATTAAAGTGTTTACAGGCAAAAAAGCTTTTACAGTTGGAACTGAGATACAGATGACATGACTATGATCCTTTTGCTATGTCATGATCGTGCTCTTAGAGCATAGCTGATGCAGAAAAGATGGCAACCTTGTTTGGAGCACAACAGCAGTAAGAAGCAGTAAGAAGAGGCTTATGTGTTAATTGGTGATATTTACTATTTGGATGCCAGAGAGCAGATACTCTGTTTGCAGTCTTGCCAGAGGATAAAGGACTGACCATGAACTTTAGAGCTATGAGATCCTAGTACATGTGGAAGTATTCTGAAAGAGTGTGAGAGGGGGGGTGTCTGTGCTTGGATGACTGTTTTTTGTAGATAGTCTTTGGGAGAGACTTCTGTTTGAGATGTTCGCAAAGAGGTCACAGAGAGAAACTGAAGCTGTTCGTTTTGAAGCCAGTATGCAAGGATAGTCAGGGACCTGAAGAAGTAAGTTAGGAGCTCAAAATGGAGTTAGGCTTTTGTTTGGCTTATTTTGTTTCCTTTCACTGTAAACAAAGATCACTATTTTGAACCTTCCAGTTGTGTATGTGTGTCTGCTGTCCTGGACCTGCCTACTTTTAAATATCTCATTATGGCACACCGTCACAATGTATTATCATCTCACAGTCTTTCACGCTATTTCTTACAAACTTTGTATTTATTTTTGTGAGAAGCACATGCGTGTAGAGTTTGATGTTGTAGAAGAAACAATCTGCATGTAGTTCGTCAAAGCCCTGCCATACACTGGCATCTACCTTGTTCCCTATACTTCTGGGATACATGCTGAGTTGCTGATACCCTTGCCAGGAATCAGTTTTCTTATAATAGGTGGATGGAACATGGCTAGAGAGAAAGAAACAGAAAGTTAAATAGTATAAAAGATTATTTAAGAATTCACTTATCCTTCTGAGAGTGTTTACTGTGGAGGTGCCTTATCATTATTGCTAAGGGGAGGTTTAAAACTGCATTAACTAAAAAACAGAACTGTCATCTTGCGCACAACATTTTTTAACGGATCCTCTCTACCATAAGAAACATGTGTCATCAGGTGTGAGAAGGCTCCACAGCCGAAACATTGTGTTTTCTTTCTTCTCTTTTCAGCAAGGAATAAACCTATTACTTGTTCCTTTGCAGCCTATGCATGCTGACGCAGCTCCCCACCTGAACCATCTTAAAATAAAGATGGGGAAAAATGAAATCAGAAAACACAAATGCTCATAAATCTTTTGAGTCAAATGCATGTGGCTAAAATGCTGTGGACAGCTACAGCATTTGTTTAGTTGAGCAGTCACTTAAAAAAGAAACATTACTTTAAACACCTTCACTGCTTTTCTGTGCTGCACTTATACTAAATAACTAGGTATAACTGCATTTAAGACCTGTGCAGCACATAAGTGAAGAGTCCTATCACTTTCACACTTTCAGCTTCTTAATTTTCTTTCTTTGAACAGAACAGTCTACGGCACATTCATAGAACTATATGATGCTAATGTTAGAGAGATGTGTGTTCTGAGAGAGTCATCCATTTATCCAATAGCAGAAAAAGATTTACTCCTGGTAAGGATCCTGTAAACTCAAGAGCCTTACCTAGGAACATAGGGCATAATGCAGGACTACGCACTGGACAGAACATCAGCCCATCACAGGGTGTTACACACACATATACACAGGGACAATTTAATGACACCAACAGACCAGGCTAGCATGTCTCTGGAAGATGGGAGCACCAGGCTCATGAAAAGGACAAAGGACAAAGAGAGAACAAACAAATTTCACATACAAGGTGCTCCAGTCTGGAATTTAACCCAGAAAACAACAGCTCGGAGGCAAGGGTGCTAAAGGTGACTCATTTATGAGTCAAATTTATAGTAATTCCAGTAAAGGACTATTCTGGTACTCTCTGCTACAGAAAATACCAATGTATAGATTCTGATATAAGTCATAAAAATGTTTTATTAAAAGCTACTGGAATACACAAAAGCATAAACTCTGGATCACTCAAAATAACGCCTGTGCTTGTTTTACAATATGGGAAAGGTTTCACAGTATGCATTTTATTAATGAATACATTTTTTATTATGTATTAATTTAATCAATCCATGAATACTTGAATTTTGTAGAATCTTTGGAAGTGTAGCCTCATTCAGTTCCTGTCCAGCACCTATTACTGCCAAAAATCATACTTGTTTATGATTACTTAAAGGACTAAAGGGAAAAATAATTTAACAGATGAAATAAAATTCACCTACCGGATCAATAAAAGTGATTCCAAAAACTTCATAAGCAAAATACAGCAGCTCTTTCTCCAGAAGGGATTGCTGTATGTACTGACGGACATTCTGAGAGAACATTGATCACCAGTAAGTTAGTATTGCATTCTACACTTTCAACAATATCAACCACCTTCATCATGAAAAATGCTTTCGAGAAACACAAACAGGAAAAACAATGACATTTTAAAATTCAAAAGCCTTTTTGTCTCCATACAGTTTCAGATTCAAAGTAACCTTAAACTACTTCATTATATTTTAGAGGTCCTTATTTATTTATATGCTGTTTTATCTTTTCTGCTAATGCACCATATAATTTACTTGATGGAAGACAATTAAATCTCCATAGTTAATGAAAACACAAAAACAGACGCGTTTCCTACACTTATAATGAGGCACAATTCAACCTACAAAAAGACTTAAACATTGGAGGGTGAATTAATCTTTTTTTAAAAAACAAACATTTTATGGTGTGATGTAAAAGCCAGTTTATTGACTTTAAAATGGCTATAATAGATAGAAAATGATAGAAAACATGGTCAGCTCACTGCTGCTCACCTCTCTGGGAGTGATGGTGGCAGCCTTCTCCTCCCCAAGCACTGCAGAATAGTAAGCCAGGTTCTGGTTCATAACCTCCTCAGCAGGGTGGAACAGAAGGTATGTTTTTGTGCACTCGATGGCCTTCTCGTAGTTTTCACCTGCAGAAGAATCAGAATACGTGTCTGTCTGGAAGGCACAGAGGGCTCCTAGGCTTTGCACATTTAAAGGGTTGAGCTACCTACAGTAATTCAGATGGATTCAAGACTTTCAGTAACGTCAGTGTCAGGCACAGTAATACATGTACCTGCTGAGATATAATTTGTGAACCCCTTCAGCAGGTCTGTATTCTCTTAAATTTTAGACCAAAGATCTCATAAAGTAAGAAGACCTTCATGAAAGTCTTAATTAAAACACAAAGAGAGAAGATATATTTGAATTGTTTAATTAACAAAATGTTTGGATTCGGTGGCCCCTCCTTAAACAGAAAAGACTTCAGCTAGACCTTCCCTGTATCTTGCATCATACTTTAGGGATTTTGGCCCATTCTTCCTTAAAAGAACTGCTTCAAGCTGGTGGCATTTGGGGGTTTCCTTGCATGAACAGCTCTCTTTGGGTGCTACTATAACATTACAAGTGGGTTTAGAACAAGACTTTAACCTGACCAATCCAAAATACACAATTTCTTCCTTCTTCACTATATACTGTAGATCTGCTTGTATATTTAGGATCATTGTCTTGCTGCATGAACCACTTTCAGCTGAGTTACCGCTGACAAATCGATCACCTGACATTCTCTTCCAAAGTTTGCTGACAACACCAAATTCATGGTTTTGTCAGTGATGGCAAGTAGCCCAGGTCCTGAGGCAGCAAAGCAGCCCCAAACCATAATTTTCCCACCACCAGGCTTGACGGTCAGGATGAGATTCTTATAATGTAAGGCAATGTCTATTTTTCACTGCTGAAAATATTCCTTTTTGTGGTATAACGTTTAATTTTTGACTGGTCTGTACAGAGGACATTCTTCCACTAATCTTGTGGATCATCCAGCTGCTCTTTACAAAATCCTAGATGGGTAGCAATTTTCTTTTCTAGGGAGCAATGGTTTCTTCCCATGGGGGCTCTGCACCCATGAAAACCTTTCCAGTTCAGTCTTTTCCTGATGATTGAGGGATGGACAATGACATTAGCCACAGCAGGAGAGGTCTAGAGGTCATTAGGTGTTAGTGTGGGGTTCTCTACCCCAAAATCAGACTCCTGTATGATTTTCCAAGTCTCTCTTGTGGAGATCTTGGCAGGACAACTGGTCCTAGAAGACTCACTGTGGTGTTGAATATCTTTCATTTGTATACTGCCTGTCTGACAGTGGGTGGATGAAGCCTCAAAGCAAGCAATAGTTTAGAAATAGTTTTGTATCCCTCTCCAGACTGATGAGAAAGTAGTTTTCTGAGATCCTCTGAAATCTCTTTTTATTGTACGAGTAATGATGTGTTTAACCCGTATGATGAAGATGAAATTCATAAACTCGTTTTCTGAACATTAAAAAGAACAGGGCTTCTCAATCGCCATTAACCACAGTTAAACCACTTGATTCTTATTACTCCCTTAATTGTGCAAAAGCTACTAGGGCTTCCTTTATTATTTAAAAAACAACACTGGGATTATAAACCTTATTACTTTTTTAAGAATAACCAATATTGATTAAAAAAGTGATATGAAGTTGTAATATCCATAATTATATTGGGGTTAATAAACTCTTTCTCTGCACTGTAACAAACATATGACTAAAGTCACTATTTTCAAATGGAAAGGACTGAAAGACGCACAGCATACTAATCACTTTCCTACTGCATATTCCCTCAACACTGAGATAGCCTCCAGGCTTGGTGACCCTGCCGTCTTCTGCACAGTGCGACAACAGCAATCCTTGCCAAGTCGAGCATTTAATGTTTGCCACATTTTAATCCAGTGAGGATTTCCTCCTCTTTCTAGTCTGAGGCACTCAGAAGAACATAAAACTCTAAGAACATAAGATGGTTACAAACAAGGGGCCCCTTCATCCCTTCATGCTCAATGGGTTTCGTTCTGTACATAGGTGCTCTTCAATTTTTCTGGAAGAACTGGGATCAGCAACAAGCCTGAGAGCTTGTGTTTCACAAGCTTTGCCCGAAACAAACCCCCTGTGCTCATTTCCTTGTCACTATGGGTTGTGCTCTCATGTTCTTGTGCCACTGCTGGATGTAAACTAATCCACTGGGTGGCTTTGTGATTTTCACAATGTCTTCCAAGATTCTGAATGATCGCATGAAGTCTGATTGTAATCTACTTGTCTAAACATTTTCCTGCATGCCTGATACTATAAACCACAAAGGATGTAACCAAAGGTTTAACTATAAATCTGAATGCCAGACATCACTGGCATTTCTCCGGACTTACTGTTGTAGTACGCAAACTGCAGGTAGTTGAAATGGGCAGGCAGGAAGTCTTCAACAGGCTTGTCTTTGCCTGGTTTGGTAGCCAGTTCCACTGCACAGTTCTGCTTGCAGTTCAGCACCTGCATGTAGTGGTCTGTGAGGGAAAATAGCAACAGTATTAAAGACAAAAATAGACAAAACATGACAGTAGACATAACTTGTTATTTAGTAGACAGTCTCCTCCAAATCAGATAACAAAAACTGAGGATGCATGAGTAATTGATACACCATAGACACTGATGATACAGAGAATTACTGTAACTTAATACTTACAAGTTCATTTCATTTTCCAAGATTAATATATGTTCATTAATATTAATATTCAATTTTATCTTTTTAGCTTTGTATAGCCATTTTTAACATGAAAGGCTCTTTGTAACACAAGACTATCACAATAGTGTCCTTGACTTCAGATCCCATCCAAAGTTTGAGGAAGCTAAGTATTTTGTTCAGGATAATCTATAACAAGTCAAGACTTGAACTGGGAACATCCTGATAAACTCTTTACCACTGGACAGCACAGCCCCTAAAAGTTCTGAAATTCACATGAGGAACATTCAAGGAGACTGAATGTGATAATCAAGTCTGTTCTCCCCTGCCAGCTCTCAGAGGGAAAATTAAGGCTGCAAACAAATCTCAAAAGCTCAATTTTCATTGTAGTATACCACATTCCAGATCAACTGTGTGACTCAAATCTGTGATTCTCTTTGCTATTTCATTTAGTTAGCTTTTTCTTGGAAAACATGATAAATATTAGATCAGGAAGGTCCATTTTCTGACTTATACAAAGTATTCACATGTATGTTGTGGTTTCTTGTCATTTTTAGTGCGAGATTAATTGTGATACACGCTGTTGTAAATATGAGATCAGCTTGTTAAATTCAAAATAAACTAGTCTGTCATTCTAAATTAGTTCAAGATTAGTATTTTTTATTGGTGTATTGATGTTTTGGGAGTTTGTAAAAGTTCAAAGAACACACTGCTTAGCTGGTTGCTCCAGGCAAGGTTGAATAAACGTGCACAAAACTTGCATTTCTTATGTGGCACCATTTACCTGTGATCATGTTATGTGATAGTCAGGAAATGTATCAATTTTGCTAGAAAAACAATTTTCACAGACAGGAAAGATTTGACTAATTCCATGCTGTAACAGAAAGCCAACTCTCTTTAAAACACCCACAGCTGAAAACAGCTCTCGGTTTTGGAAAAAGTCAGTACTATTTTGACACCAGAGTGTCAACAGCAGTAAATAGATGTGTATTCACCATCCTGTCAGTTAAATATGTGAGACTCATAGTGCTAAGTGCATATTCACATTGACAGCTCAGTAGCTTTCATTAAGAGGTGGATTTTTTTCATTCAAGCCAGTTCTACATGTGAAAGGTAAGAATGAGCAGAATTGGTTTCCTGTCTGGGTGGAGAAAAAGAACTTTTACCAAAAATTATGTTTTACCTCATTTGAATAAAGGCTAATGGGGGAAACTGGAAACCCTTGGTCCAAGAGAATACAAGATAGAAATATCGATACCGTGGAATTACATCAATTACAACAGAGGAATAGTCTTTGCACAAAGAGACCTGGTGTGTCAAACAAATAGTCCTGTCATCTCGTGGATACGAAGTGAAGACAACTGATTGTTTTATTTTCATTTAAACTTGAAACAAACAGATGAATAATTACCGTTCTCTTCTATACCATTTGCTCTGTAATTAAATCCTAACATCTTCTCTAAGTCTGTCTCCATCACAACGCCTAGATCTCAAATGGACCGAAAATTAGTGAAAAAGAGTAGTTCAGTCCCACACACTTCTAATCAAACCACAGCCTAGTATTTTTCCAGTTAGTATTTGATGCCTTCAGCCTTCTGAAACATATGCATTATATTATACTGTACACGCATGAACATCTTAGCTGTCTTGAGGAAATTTCAAAGCTCCATTCAGCCAAACAGTGCTCACCTGTCATAGACTGGAAGAGGTCTGCACTGTAATCCAGGTAGTTGTAGCCCTCATAGTCATAGTCTCCCTCACAGAGCGCACGGCACTCCTGATAGGCTACGAAGTACTCCTCCACTGCGGCCTCAAAGTGTTCAGTCGCAGGGAGGAAACTGTCTGCTGTGTAGAACTTCACACCTTGTTGGAACTCTTCCTGAAAATCCAGAAAGATGGGCAAAAACACAAGTAAGAGAGAGATTCTGAAAGAAGTGAACCTGATACAGAGAGATTGGCTGTTAGATGTCATTATCATCATGATCACTTTCAACAACCACTTATCCAAATCAGGCTTGCAAGAGAGACGGAGCCTATCCCAGGAAGCACTGGGGACAAGCAAGGATACAACCTGGACAGGAAGCCAGTCCATCGCAGGACACACACAGACACAAACATGCACCAGGGCCAGTTTTCCCAGAAGCCAATGAACCCACCAGCATGTCTTTGGACTGCTGAAGGAAACCGGAGCAACAGGGGGAAACTAACATGAACACAGGGAGAACACAAAACTCCACACAAACAGCACCCCAGGAACTAAACATAGGACCCCCGCACAATGCCAACCTCTGCACCTCTGTGCCACCTACTGCACCTATAGAACAGTGGGTCCCTGTTGAAGGTACTACTGGTTGCAAACAGATCAGGTTTTTATCCAAAACAAACAAATGGTGCACAAACTGACTGAGGAGCATACAGCATGCTGGGTACCAAAAGCAACTGTTCAACACTCAAGAAATACATAAAATATTCTATCACACTTTGATTAAATAAAGATTCATGTGGTAACTAGCACTTTAAAATCTGGATTCCATTAAGGATAGAATTTGGCACACATGACATGAAGAGTTTTGTTTATGGTAGCAGACTCATGCAGATTAATGCAGAACTTTCTTAGAAAAGTTTAAAAACTCATTGGTAAAATAAATGGTCCACCAGTATAGACAAACTGGAGCCTTTATTGGAAGCACAAGTCAGGACTAAATCCTTATGGGACCAAATTAAATCCCATGTAGGGAGAACATGCAAACTCCACACCAAGGTTGGGCATAGATATGCGAAAACAATGCAAACCTGAAATGTAATTTTCGGTTTAGTACACAATTTATCGAATGTATTAGATACAAATACACATATAAACAGTGTTAAAGATATGTTATACTGAGAATTTTTCAAAACATTTTATATGTATGTTATATATAACATTATACAGTAGTTCAGGTGTGTAGCTGCATCAGCATTATACATTATACATTGATATACATTATACAGTATATCAGCAACAGCCCAGAGGTATGCTGTTTTTAAGAAGCTCTTGAAAAGATCATTAATGCACAGACAAGAGAGCAGCCCCTCACCATGTGGGTTCTCGCCTCCAGGTCTTTGAAGTCAGTCTCCTGCACCCCCGCCATCATCCTGTAGTACTCCAGGTTCTGCCTCATTTCCATGTGCTCGGGGTTGGCCAGGTAGAAGGTGTGCGCAGCTGCCACCGCTTTGTCCAGGCGGTTGATCTAGGAGAAGGCAGAACAGCGGGATACAGCACAAACCCGTCTCCGGAAACCTGCGCGGATTGTGTAGAGGTGCGCCTGGGTAGCATATTGCTTTGCAGTTCATCCGAGCACACAGACGCAAATGAAATTACAATGTACAAGCATTGGGAAAGTGAAATATTGCACTGGACCGATTTATGTTTCCTTGAGAGAATGAAAGAAAATAAAACAATTCACGAAGTGTACCATTTTTATTTAAAATCTCATTGTCTGAAGTCTTCGGTATGTGAAAAGTCTTTGGCCAAGTTCCGTCAGAGCGTGTGGGACGTTTCCTTTGATTTGCAGTCTGAGCCGCTGGAAAGGGCGCCTGTCCCTTTAAATTTTACTTAAACATCGGGGAGGTTAAAAGCACAGAGCCGCCACCTAACTACGTGGCACAGAAATTGTGGATGGGGGGGAGGGAGAACTATAATTGAAGCATGTGCGAAAGTACATAATACGCGAAACAGTCAGTTACGATTTTAAACTGTTTAAGTTACTGTTCATTGCGACAACGTGGAGTTAAATTGTTAAACATTTAGACTGCTCTACCGGAGTCCTGGGCGATTTGGAAACATTTTACATATTTAACTAGTCCTTTTTCATGCTTGAAGCTGTTTTTCCATAAAACCCTGAACGGGATATAATGGTATTTCTGACAAATCACCGTAGAAACAACAGTTACATTGAAAACTGAACTGTGCCAAAATACAAGTGGCCTGTAGGAGCCGTGAGACTTGGAAACATGCAGACATCCCCATGTAAGAAAATTCATTCTACATACTTTTCGGGGGTTTGTTATTAACATTTCAATACATCTGCACGATTGTAACAATAAATAAACTTTATTCCATTGTTTTAGTAGACTTAGAACCAATTTTACTTCGATATTTGCATGTATTGCATACTTTTTCATACAAGAACAACTATTAAAAGTTGAAAAAGACGCGTTGTTTCAAAAAGTTTTCAATTAAAAGTGACTTCAGCACTACCTCTTGCATTACACTATATGCATGTGGTTTAAAATGACTGTGTTACCTTGAAGTAAGCCACTTGGAGATAATTATAAGGAGACCTCTTCCGAAACTCGATTTCTACTTCTTCGCTGATCTTATGCAGAGACGGTGGTCCCAGTTTCTCTTCTTCACACGCACTGACGCACTGGGCCCGTTTTAATACGTTTTGGAAAAACCCGAGGTCCGCCACAGCTCCGTTGCCTGGCACGGGTATCTCCCCCAAGCCTGGTAAGGACTCCCCAAACCCGGTCTGGTTGGCGCAGAGGAGCCGGCAGTGCGCCTTCACTCGCCGTAATGCGCCCTTGTTCAGCAGCGCCCGCTCCATGTTCAGGATGACCGACTTCCAGTCCCCCTTGTAGTAGGCTTCCACCCCGTTATCGAAAAGCAAGTCGTACGGTTCCAGGGGGACACTGCCGCTGAGCTGTACATCCGTGGAGGATCTTGGAAGCAGGGAAAGAGCAAAAAGTACGCCGATGCACAGGAACATGGTGGTGGTAACCGGGCCTCGCTGCTGGAAAGCGAGCGATTCCAAGAGATCCCGTCGGCGTGTGCCTGCGCTGGAGAAGCCTACATTCCTGGCCAGAGGCAGCAGCCCAGATTTGGGAGGGTGGAGTTAACGGAGACCCGCTCAACACTCCCCTTAAAATCTCAGCACCTCTTTCGCAGCCTGCGTGGACGTGGATTTTTCCTGTCCCGAGTTAAGATCAATACTTGTAAACCGCTTCCAGACGATAGCTCCCGAGCGAGCACCGAGTTACAGACTGGTTTTATTACGAAGGAACACGCATGCAAATATGGGCGACCTTAGAGCGTGTTTTAATCTGCTTCCAAAACGGGTAAATCTAAAAATAAGTAAAAAAAAACAAGCAAAAAAAGACGTAAAGCGTACTAGTATTTTTAACGTAAATCCGTTTGGAAATCTTCGATACTACTTTCATATTATATTCCTACTTTAATACAAGTGTTTTGTTCTTCTTGAATTATGATTTTTGAGTGTAATTTCTGTAAAAATAATGTGTTACTAATTATGGAACGAACACGTCTCAATACTCCCATGCCTACAACCGCCACACCTTACATGCAGTGACCTAACTGTATTTTTACTGCAACGTACTGTACAATACTTAAATTATTTCATTTATTTCACTTCGTGAATCTGATGTTCCCTTTACAGGAAACTTGTGATTGTGAAGAGCAGCACACAGTCATGGGGGACAGTGCTCTTGCCTTGCAACTCTGGGTTTTGATGCAATATGGGACACTTTCTATGTGGATTTTGCATGTTATACTCACGTCCACGTGGCTTGTGTCCAGGTGCTTTCTACCCACAGTCCAAAGACATGCTGTCCAGGGTAACTGATGTCTCTTAATTGCCCTTTTGAATGTGTGTAGCGTGCAATGGACTTGCATCCCACACAGTGTGTTGTCCTGCGTTAATTTCTGTCTCACCATTACCCTCTAAGGCAGGGGTATGAGTACGGTCAAGGAAACCCACTGTCTCCTGGTTTTGTTCCACCCATGTTGTTAATTACATAGTTGGTCTAATTATTCAATTAACTGCATAATTGTAATACTTTCATGCGGCTCTGAAGGCAAGTTATAGGTAACTGTACTCTTAAAGTGATGTCTAGTGTAATCAACTTCAAAGCCTTTAAGAAAAAATCTAGTTTTGCAAATAATTCGGTGAATTTTTTGACTGACTTCTCAGGGCAGAATAAAAAACATAACACAGGCCTACCAGGAACTGAGTTTGAAAGCATTTGAACCCTGGTCTTGGGGCACTGATACAGTATGTCTCCTGTTTTTACTCCTTCTTAATCATTGGCTAATTGAGTGAAGTCTTCTAGCTGGGGCAAATTGTTCAATTTGCTTTCAGCTTTTAAAAGCTTGTATGAGATGTAAATTGCTATGATCCCTGTATCAATTCTCTGAGTTTCAGAGCTCCCCTCATTCAGTTGTGTCAGCAGAAATGTGACCAATTGCATTTCCTTTGCAGAAGGATAAAAATGCATGCAATTGAAAACATTGCGTTTATGCTTATACGGCACTTTTTTGGACACTCCACTCAAAGCGCTTTAGAGGTAATGGGGACTCTCTTATCTCTCCCCTCCACCACCTCCAGGGCAGCCCCACACCAGCTCTCAGTGGGGAGGAGAGTAGAGTGATGAAGCCAGTTCGGAGATGGGGATTATTAAGAGGGCATGATTGGTAAAGGCCAGGGGGAACTTTGGCCCGGATACCGGGGGTAACTCCCCTACTCTTAAAAATAACACCTGGGGGCACCTTTTTTACAGTATAGTGTCCCCATCACAATACTGGGGTATTAGGACCCACACAGACCACCCCCTGCTGGCCCCATTAACACCTCTTCCACCATCAACCTTAGTTTTTCCCAGGAGGTCTCCCATCCAGGTACTGACCAGGCTCACACCTGCTTAACTTCAGTGAGTTGCCAGCTGTGAGTTTCAGGGTGATATACAGTAGCTGCTGGTCAAATAAAGTTGTAGCTGAACCACTTTCTGACAACTCGTTTTCACAACAATAGATATGGAGTTAGACTCATTTAAATTATCATGATTTAATGGTAAATGTCATTCTTAAAAATCATAAGCAGAAGTGTAACCAGGTACAATAACAATCGTATAATGGTTGCTGCACATTGGTGGTGGTGGAGGGGGGTCCCCATTACTTGTAAAGCACTTTGAGTGGAGTGTCCAGAAAAAGCGCTATATAAGTGTAAGCAATTATTATTATTATTATTATTAT